CCCCCCCCGGCGGCGCCTGCCCCGCCTTGCCCCGCCCGGTCCGCCCACCGCACTCACGCCTGTCTCCGAGCGATAAGGCGGTGCATGGGAGTCGCCATCTTAACGGCCAGGCCAGGAAGTGAGGCGCGGGCCGCGTTGCATGCCGGGCCATACCGGCCGCCACCTCCCACTGGGGGATAGGAGCGGTCGCCACAGAGACGAAGTCCTCCTGCGGCCAGAGAGGGCGCGCTGGAACCCTCCCCCTCGCCCTCTGGCGGGCCCGCGGGCCCTGTCCGCATGGATGGCTGCCCAACGTAACCTCAGGGCATTGAATGTCCTGCCAGTGCCGAACCACTGCTTCTCTTCAGTCTTACAAGAAACTGCCTCTCACTTGAAAACTTATTTTCTTAGAAAAGATGTGTTTATAAAGAGGGGAGCTACAGGTCCTGGTTGCTCCTTGCCACAGGGCATCACCTCCGAGCTGCCTTGGCCTGGCCGCTCAGTGACTGTTGGGATAGTTTCACCTCGGTTAGTTCACATGAAGAATTCAACATAGCTGCAGGTAGCCCGCTACAGCTTCTCAACAGCTTTTACCTATGCAACAAGTTGGAAAGTGCATTAGCTCTATGGTCATAACATGAAGGCTCAAAAAAATGTTAGAGCTAGGCTTCAAAAAGGGATGATTTAAGTCCTTATCACTGCTCAAATGTTGCAAGCTTTTGCCAACATCGATTTTTAGCAGGGCAGATTTTTATACCACACACTGTATTAAAAAAAAAAAGGAAAAAAAAGTTAAATATTCCAGACAGAGAGTTATTTCGGATTATACTTGTTAATTGTATAGCTACTGTGAAATGGGTGTTTCCAGATGAGACAGCGCCCAAGAGCCAACGCAAGGAGTCTGTTTATAGTACAACGGCGTTTTCAGGAAGTAATGGCTGGGCTGCTGCTGGAAAGTTCACAGTTTCTCAGCAGCAAACTCTTTTCTCCTTGTAGTTTGCTGTCATGCCAAATTATGGTGCTGACACTACCTGTATGATCTGGAAATTCAAGGCTTCCAGTCTCAGTAATTTCTTGACCAGTCTGTGGTACTTCTTGCAGAATGAAAACAGAGTATCACAAAGCCGTGGTGTTTCAGAGTTGGAACAAAGTGAGCATTATTTATTTTTCAAGTACAAAGTCCTCAGATTTACCCATGCAACACAGGGCAGGTTATTGCCTTTATTGCTCATAAACATTGCCCTATCACGAAGATTAATATCTACCATTAGAGCTAAATCACAGGATGTGTGTCACTGAAAGTGTAATTGCATTAATCTGGCTACTCTACTCACTGTTACTGGACATGTAAAACAAATTGACAGACTAACAATTATCCAGAGATCATTGCTTTAAAAGTTGATATAAGTTTGTTTGAGTCAAACTGAAATATGCATTTCTTTCTCACTAGAAACAGCAACAGAAGAGGTTTTTTCATGTTTTCTAATTTTAGAGATTTAGAAAACAAAGAGTGGGAAGTAAAAGCTAGATATCGGCTCCATCCCAAATCCAGCAGGGATAGTTTTTTT